CTACTATATATATATATATATATATATATGTATGTATGGGTTATTCATAAGTAAAAAGCTAATATAAACCACAAGAATAAAATCAACTTATCTTTGCATGATAGAGTGACCTATACCTTTCTGTACCAGTATACTTAGAAGTATTTAAACCAAATACAACATTTTTTACCATTTCTGTTATTTATTATTTCAATACTAAATATTAAAAATGATGAATTTAATATTGACAAAAGAACTTTTCAATAACTTTTTATGAACTAAATCCTTTGGTAGAATCTTTGCCATTATCTACATATTTTGTAATGCATAAGTACTTAATTCAAACTTGTAGGTCTATAATAAAATGCAATCACTATTTTTTCAGTTTTTAAAAGATAGGTTTACTTAAGTAATGCTGAATATTTTTTCCTTACACTCTGTAATTCCAAGTGAACACTAATATCTAATTGGAGCTGTACAAACCATAAAAAAATTCCAAAGAAAAGTTTGTAAACAAAACAATAAATGTAACTATGTCATCATTACTTCTTGAGTAGTAATTAATCACTGTCACACAGTTTTAATTGGCATCAAATATAGAATCACAAGTAGTTAAAAAAACATATATTGCCTTAACCCTTTGGATGCTATAATTAGATTTATTTGACTTGACATTTATAGTCATTTAGTGCGACAAGTGGATTTATCCCATGATGTCATAAAAACTTTTTCTCATAGTGCGACAATCAGGATACTCACATGTCCTTGAATTTCCTGTTTTAGTATTGTGCATGCATACATCACCATGCAAAACACAACTACGATATTGAAAAAGTACTAAAAACAAGATCAAATTCTAAATTTCATGTTTTAGTAGATAATTGACACTTTTTGAGAACCCACCCAAAATTCAGTTATGTACTCGAAGGGTTAAGGTATATATATATTAAAATTCCTGTGTTTTCAAGCTCTATTTTGACATAATTATAATGGGCCAGGAATACAGTATTTAGCACTTAATATGTTCAGTCAATCATATAAAAATATACTATAATCATACATTTATAATTCAGTATTCACATTCATATCTGAATAGATGCAGCATTGTTGCTATTAACAAATGGTACGGTACCCACCTTGTTTTCTCCAGTCATATCAGTAATGGTATTCCATGTCTTCCCATTATTACTGTACTGAACCATGAAGGATGTCACCCACTGGGGCACTCCATCACGACCTTGTGTTATGACTGCTGTAACATTACGTGGCTCCAAGAAATCAACCTGTGAACAATTATAAAAAAGTATAAAGTATTTAGACAAAACAAAAAATAATAGTTCTTTAACTAAAAAACAAACAAAAAAGTAGGATTCAGATAAAACCAGGTAAAGACATGGTAAAAATTCTGGAAATCGGTATGTTTTATACTGAAAACTAACCACAAAACTACAAGATTTAGAACATGTTAATTATATAAAAATAGCAAGCATAAACTATTTCTTAAAGATACTAAACTTAGATACAGTTTACAAGAGTAGCAGAAATGAAAACTACACAACATAAACCTAAAATGTTCTTAAATCATAACAAATTGAAAGTTAATCAATTATTAAACTCATTTGAATAATCCAGCTGACAAATTAATCATATAGCACCTGTAAGTACTGTTTATCATCAGATACAGCTGCCATCCAAGATTCACCCCCAAGTCTGGCATTTTCTGGTTTGTGTTTTGTATCATGACTGGATGAAGCAGTGATTTGAGAATCAGCTAACATTCCATCTTCTAGGCCCATTGGATCCAAGCAGACTATGAGGAATTATAACAAATCTAGTAATTCATTCCCATCAAATTCTTGATGTAGATTATATGTAAATAATTTAACTTAGTGAAATGTACTTTAAACGACTGAAAAATACAATACAACTTGAGTAGAAACATAGAGAGAGCTCCAGAAACACTGTAATAACTGGTGTTGATGATGTAAACAATTTATGAAATAGTAGACTCAACATTTTTTTAAACTCCATGTATCAATTATAAATTCTTGGTAATGTTTTAGTTACTCATCCCTTACAGTACTCTTTTCAGCTGTTCAACATCCTTAATGTCGACTGAAACTGTAGCTTTAAATAGATGAATTGCATATGCATGATAAGTATCAAACATGTCAACAACATAAAACAAGGTCTTAAATGTGTGGTATTTAACTAAAGAAAGAAGGAATTTATTAAGATTGCTTGAACTGATGGAAAGATTTTCTCTCCTAACTAATATATTTACATCCACACTTTAAACAGGTCTGCTTACCATGCAAATCAAATTTAAAACTTTATGTTTGTTTGTTTATGGCATTGATACTAAGGCTATCTGCTGCTATCTCTAATTTTGAACTGACAAGCAGAGTAAAAGCAACTTTCCAACATCATCCACCATCAACTCTTGGGTTACCCTTTATTAATCATTAAATAGTAAGATTGACCATCACATTATGACACCCACAGTATCGAGAGGATGGACATGTTTGACTCCAAGTTTCAGTCGTGAAACCTTCATATTGTGAGCCAAGTGCCCTAGCCACTAAGCTATGCCAGGCTATTCTTAGAAAGGGAAAGTTATTATAAAATGCTTATTTGACTATACTATTTATATAGCTTATAATGAAAATAACTTTGAAGGATTGGAAAAATTTTCTCTCCCAAATGCAAATATGCACATATTTACATCTTACACAACTCTGAAATCAAGAGCAGAAAAACAACTATCATAAAGACAGTTAAAATTGTCAAAATACACATTGTAATATAATACATACCTTATGCTCAATGAACAGTTCTCATTACAAAGGGAAAAAAATGTACCTCACCAAATTTTCATTATTCTACTAGCATTTCTTATATGTTTGGTTATTGACATCAGATAATATTTCTATTCTTTCCTGAAAGAATATTGTTCTAAAGTATACATGCACATTACATTGAGTATATAAGGTGGAAATTATAGTCCATGTCACCATAACTGGTTATACTCTATCTGATAACTGTGCATCTTGATATTAACTCTAAAGCACAGTTTCCATTGCAGATTGCTTTGGTACAAGGCAGTCACATCCAAAGTAAATCACTCCTCCCCACTTTCTTTCATAAGTTATCTAGTGTATGAAGACGACAATTTCCTGGCACCTGGTTCAATAGTCCAATTGCACAGAAATCCATAAGCACTGTTTCCAGTGGCTTGAAAGGTATATCTTTGTGTATAGGATAGCATGAATACACATTTGATTTTTCAGTTCCTTGATGTATGCACTGGCTGAATGGGAGGTATGACTGGAAATCTTATCTTGGTGGATCCATACCCTGCTGGCCTCATTTCCATACAAAGACAGTATTTCTAGGTGGTACAAAGGGTACAGATCATTGGTGTGATAGCAAACAGTACACTCTGACCTTTGTAAGTTGCCCCTGGTGCAGTATCCAGTGAAGATCTAGAATTCCTTCAAAAAAGTTTCACAACTTGCTATGTACCACTTTTGGATATTTTTTTTTTCACCCACTGACCAGCAGAAAAGGCATAAGATTTGTTAAAGTATGCATATTCTTTGTTAAATGTCACCACATATTGCCATTTTTCCCTGGCTATGTACCATTTACGCAGTTTTTACAGTTGGTGTTCCTTTCCTGGCTATGTCGTGGATGCAACTTGTTTGTTTGTTTGTTATGGATTTCGCACAAAGCTACACGAGGGCTATCTGTGCTAGCCATCCCTAATTTAGCAGTGTAAGACTAGAGGGAAGGCAGCTAGTCATCACCACCCACTGCCAACACTTGGGCTACTCTTTTACCAACGAATAGTGGGATTGACCGTCACATTATAACGCACCCACGGCTGAAAGGGCGAGCATGTTTGGTGGGACAGGGATTCGAACCCGCGACCCGTAGATTGCGAGTCGAGCGCCCTAACCACCTGGCCATGCCGGGCCGGATGCAACTTCTGTTGTTTTTGGATGGTCTTGGTATCCTGTGTTGATCCATATTCCTTTGTTTTCCAACAACATTAAGTACAATGGATATTCCTGTCTTGAAAGTTGTAAATCTCCAGCCTAAATACATCATTATGACCTGAATCTATGAATAGAACCTAACTCAATGCAAGTATACTGTACAAAGGTGAGCCAAAACTATATTTTTAAAATAACAATAGCATTAATTAGAAATATCTTATTGTATTAACAAAATATTTAAAAAATATGTAATAGGACTAATTGTCTTTGTAGTGCCTGAAGTCATACTGTTAATGGTTGTATAATATATTTAAAAAATATTTTCAAAAAATGTAATAGGACTAATTGTCTTTGTAGTCCCTGAAGTTGTATTGTTAATGGTTGTACTTTGCCTTTACCTTTCATTTAATATTGATTCATATCCAAATTATCATGTTTCCACAAAGAGACTTACTGCTTTTCTATTGTTTCTTCTTCCAAACAAACAGTTTTCATTCCTTCATTTCTCAGCAGATTAATATGAAACTTGGTAGGGTTATACCTTGGTGTAATATGCCCAGAGGCATTTTTTATTTTTATTATTTAGTACTTTAA